AAGAGAGTAAATAGTTTATGAAAATTAAATCACTTAAATTACTGAAAACAATGTTAAATGCCTCCTTTCTTATAAGACAAAAGTTTCATTGTGAGGAATGGGGCCTCAATAAATGGATGATGTCATAATCTTCATATAGGATGATAATACTTATCACTTCAATATGATTGCCATAAGAATGAAAAAACATTAAATAATTTATACGATTTAGTTGGTTACACATGATACAAATGGGTATAAACTGTTCAAATATTTAAACAGTATCCAAAAGAGTTAACTCACCTCCAACCTATTTACTTGCATGTTCCAAAAAACTATTGTACTATCTTCAGCTCCAGATATTAATTGTTTTGATGCATTGGCAAAACACAAAGATGTTACTTTATTGCTGTAAAAAAAAATGAATATCAAATTTCAATGTGAACTAAAGACATTCAAAATTAAATTTTATTAATGAATAGATAAACCAGAAGCCAAACTTGAGTGTATAAATCAGTAAAGAATTTCTTAAATTTTTTTTTTTTATCCATTTAGCAAAATATTTCTATTAGAATTTCTTCTGAATTTTAATTTTTGCAAGTTATAAAGCCTCATAAAATCATTTTTTAGCTCTGTTATTTTACAAAGATATTTTCTTTTGTCAAAAAGCTTTTCTCTTATCAAGCCATTACATATTTGTTTTTGTAACAACTATACATATATATATATATATATATATTTTGTTGTACATTTGAAGTGTCTATTTACAAGATTCTTGTCACATATACTTTAGATTCCAGCTGTTTAGGCTGCTTAAAATCTAATACTTATTGCTCAAAAAATATAGTAAGAAATCATAATAATTGGGTTAATGGTGCAGCTAGTATTAAACTCAATCTATATTATAACTGCTATTACTTTAAATGAAAATACAACCCAATGTTTAAAAAATAAAAAAGGAAAGAATTTTTTTTTTTACACAAAAATTTGAACTTCTTAAAGAGTAGGGGGATATAGGTGATTTCTAATGAAGGAACTAAGCCAATATATATAATTATTAAGTGCAAAATTTTTATAACAATACAAGAAAAATATAGCACATTGGCAAAATATAGTAGCTTGACTACAGTAAATTTCAGATCAGGTACAAAAGACTTAACAGACTAGGTACAAAAATAAGACTCAATAATTTAAATTATTTTAACAAGAAAAAGCTAACATAGTTACAAAAATTTTTTCTGAAACAATTCACTTCATATTCAAATTGAACTAGAATTCTATGAATGAAAAATTTGGAGAAGATCGATAGGAAAACAGAAGGTGAACATTGAAAATCATGAAATATGAAAAAGCAAAAGAAGTTGGTAACTATGCATTTTGTAATTTAATGCCACAGTAGATAATCTTTTTTGATGAAAAGCATTAGGATTTACTTTGTATAGTCAGAATATTCAGAGCATAGAATTCACATTCTTCACTAATATATTTTTTCCATTTAACTCAAGTGATCGTTTTTTTTTCTTTCTTAAATAATAGTGTTGTATAATATATAAATTTTATTTAAATATGATCAATTCATCAATTTTGCTTTGCAAAATAGGTATATGGATATCTTATTTTAAAATTCACTTGCACTATTGCCCCAGATAGCTGTACTCCATTCTTTCTCTTAATAAGAAATATAATTTTATTTTAAATTGTTAGTTGATTCTATTGATTTTGAAATTTATGTCATTGATTTATATTTCTTTGCAAGCTTTTTAAAGCTTTCATCCCGATCAATTTGAAGTAAAATATAAAATTTTTCATTCTGGGATAAAATAATAGACTTCATTTTAGCAGAAGTAGAAACTATGATGATCAAACTAAAATGCACAGATAATAATAAAAAGGCAGACAAAGCAACACAAATACAAACATCTACTTATTTTAATGAAACCAAAACAGCCAACTTTATTAACAAAACATTTCTTTATAGTTCACATGAAATATTCCTTTTCATATAGTAACACAGTACAGAGAGTTTTTCATTTTGGAGCCCTATTTATGATATTTATCATAAAATACCAACTTAATGGTAAGTAATCTCTTATCTTCCGAATATCCAACTTTGAAAATCAGTGATCATAAGATGGAAAATTATCTAATGTTACCCTTTTGCTTATTAATTACACTCATTTCAACAATAAAAAAAGACTATATATAAGCTCAAATAGAATGCTTAAGCTTGTTTGAAATAGAAAACAATCTTTAAATAAACTGTGTGCACTAGAGAAGTTTAATGTGAATTCATAATTTTTTTAAAATTTTTAATAGTTCCAAAAAAGAAAAAAAAGTGGAAAGTGAAAGCATAATTGTAATGTATTTGGTTCTAAGTTTTTGTATATATTTGGCTTTTCAAAAATAATACATACAAAAAGAAGAGTGTCTTACTGGTGTCCTTGTAATTCATAAGCTGTACCCTGTTGACCTCCTATGTCCCAGACAATTATTGATTGGTCAAAACTTCCGGAAAATAAGAGCTTTCTTTCAGGATCCCATGATAAACACCTTATACTACCTGTTAGAAACATATAAAGCAGTCTATAGTTTTACTGAAACTAAGTTTTATATTATAACAGTAATTTGTGATTCAATTAAAAACAGTTAAACAAACTACCAAAAACATAATTGCTTTTAATTTACGTAATAACTAGTACATTTGATTAACCGTAGTCTAAACATATTTTATTTTGAACCAAAATTATAGATTGACAACAGGACTGGTGAAAGGGTGGGCAACTATCCCGAGCACCAGGTTAGGGGGCACCGAACAAGACTTAGATAGTCAAGAGTAAATCTTTTTCTCTACAATAATTGCTAAATAGTGAGATAGATAACTTCTTTCTTCATCTGATTTATCTTAACGTTTTGATCTTGCTTAATTTAGGTGAAGGGATTTCAAATCTGAAATCATCAGAATTAAAATTAAATAGAAACGCATGCTCGAAAACGTTGTCACACGCCACTAGGAGTGCTTCCCTATTATTATCAGTTCACATGAATGGTTAATAATAGTGAAATTCCCCTAGCAACGCATGACGTCATTTCCAGACATGGGTTTTGATGCAAATTTAATTCTGATGATGTGCCTTAACTGCCCTAGAAGTTTGTTGCAACATCTATGTGACTCTCTGTTATACATTTCATTTTTCAACTTGTACATTTTGACAAAAATAGACTAAAAATGTCATTAAAAAAAGGGTGCTTGGAGAGAGAAACTAATTGAAAATTTGAAACCAGTGACGTGAAAGTATTCAAGATACATTAAAAAAACTTCTGCAACGAGGAAAAAAATTATTGCTCATTGTAATCATTTAATATTTTCCTAATACTTAAAAGGCCATCCATTCTTTGGTTAATACATTTGTTACAGGATTATTTTTAATTTATTTTAAATGGTTACTTTTCAGATAGTATACTTCATAAACATTTTATTACAGGTTTGCTTCGTAATGAGAACTGTTATTATACAACATACTGTATGTTATTGTTCAACATACATTTTTGGCTTACATTGAGTGCCTGAATTAGAATGAACCTATGGACTTCAGAGCAATAAATTTTAGAGTGAATGAGTTTTTAAATAAGGAAAATTAGAAAATTTTAGAAATACCAAAAAATTGGCAACTATTTAAACAGTGAAAAAAAATAGAACAGAAAATTAAACTTAAACATTATATGCCAAATTTTTGAATTATATACACTTTCATATTATATCTAGGTAAAGAGGCAAGGATTCCTTGAAACCTTAGTAATAATGAATCTAATAATGAAGAAGCAATAATTGTGAGGGGAAAAAAAAATTCTGAAACAGCCATAAGACTTCACAAAAAATTGCCTTTAAATGCACAAGTTACAATAAAAAAATTTAAAAAAAAATTATACATACATATTTGTACTAGACTTTGTTTAAATTATTACAGAATAATTATCAATAAAAATATATTGTTCAAGTCATCCTACTTTATGTTACAACTGGCCTGAACTTTTTGAATTCTGATTTGGGTCATGGTTAGCAATAAAATAATTTTTTTAAAACTATTATTACATATTCTGCTGTTTCTTCTACACATCTTATTTGAGAAACCATTTTTTTTCTTTTCCTTCTATTTTTTCAGATTTAATTTGCTTTATTTTACACTTAAAAGACTATCAACATAAATTAGCCTTATAGATGCATAACAGCTTCTATTAATCATAATTCCTCTTTGTAAATAGAAATATAAAAATATGAAATTTTTATTTTAAATGACCTTATTGCATTAAGAATTTCAAAAAGTAAAAATAAAATAAAACCGCAATAAAAATAACATTTTCTGGAAAAATTTAATTTTTATTAAAACACTTCTGTAAAATTGCATATTACTAATTGCACTCTTTTCAGATTCAAAAGAAAATGTTTTGCAGTTCAGAAGGTCGTATAGTTTTCTGACAATCATTGGACATATAAATCAATACCTATAATATCAAATGTGTAAAATATATATAAATTGCAAAAATTTGCAATTTTTAGAGAAAAAAGTTATAGAAACTTTCACATATTATTTTAGACTTATTTTAACTCATTAATACTATCACTTTACTAAACACAAAAAATAGTAAAAAAAATATTAAAATAGATACAAATGAAACAATATATACACATTTAAAAAAAAAAAACTTAATTTAACCACAAATGTTTTTTTAGATAACTGTATAATTAAGATCAGTTCACAAGCATGCTTTGTTTACAAGAACAAGTTCTCTTAAAAGGGGAAGGGGAAAAAATTTATCCTCAACGCAGTACCTGAATGCCTCTTTAAAGACGTAATTGGTTTGTAGCCGGATTCTTCTAACTTTAGCATAGTAATTTCACCAGTATCATCACCGATAAATACATGTTTTGATTGAGCATCAAACCTTTATAACAGTTAAGTATTTACACCCATTTTTTTTATTTTATATAATTCACATGCTACAGATATATAAATAATATTTTAATGTAAGCTTTAACATGATTAATTTCAACATGAAAGAAAAATACAAAAGCATTGCATAAGGATAAGAGCAATTTAAATAAAAGGTTGGCAGCATTGTTCAGGTAGTAAAAGTTACTAGAAAAGCAGTAACGGGACAGAAAAAAATAGAAATTCTATAAAAATACGAATTCTGCAGAAAAATAAATAATTACAGTTAAATTTCTTTATTAAAAATCTATATTTGGCTTTTAATCTTAAGAAAACAGAAGAATTATCTTAAGATTAAAAGTAAATTTTTAATAGTACCTGAATGTCCTTTTAAAGTAGTAATAGGTTTATAGCCAGAGTCTTCTATCTTTAACATAGTAACTTGGCCGGAATAATCGCCGATAAAAACATGTTTTGACTGAGAATCAAACCTTAATAATAAGTTAAGTGCTGATAACTAACACATTCACAACAGAATCAGTATTAAACAGCATCAAAAGCAAAAACTCTACAGATAAAATGAAACATGCAAAATATAATATCGAAATGAAAAAAATAAAATCACTAAAAAACAAAAAAGAATCTGAGAAACAAAATTATTGAATGATTTAAGCGTAGACAAGTAACTAAGAAAGTTTGCATAAATTGAAAAATTTCTTTAGAAAATGACATAGTAAATGCATATAAAACCGAAAATGCATTTTCTCCAAAAAATATTTTTACATTTAATTTAAAATATTATTCAGAACAGATTCATCATGCATCTGCAACCATTTTTCAGGACTTTTTTAATCACCAAACTTGGCGATAGGTGAGATTTATCTGGCTCTAGTTGTAATGCTGTTATCACAGAGAAATTATGAGAGAATCTGACGAAATTATGAGAGAATCTGACGCATTGAATGATATAGGCAAATGTAGCATGATATAGGTACTGGTGGAAGATACTAT